GATGGGAAAGGAAGAAAAGACCAAAACGAGTGTCAAAAGAGACTTTGAAACTGGCTCTTGGATGGAGAGTAGCTAAAGCAAAAGGAAGAAATGTTGAAATAAAAGAGATGAACAGAAGATTTCAAAGAGCAGCTCGAGAAGACAAAGCCAATTATTATAATGAAATATGCAAAGATCTGGAATTAGAAAACCAGAAAGAAAGAACACACTCAGCATTTCTCACGCTGAAAGAACTGAAGAAAAAATTAGAACCTAGAATTACAATAATGAAAGATGCTATGGGCAAAATACTGAACGATGCAGGAACCATCAAAAGAAGATGGAAGGAATACACAGAGTGACTGAACCAAAAAGAACTGGTCGATCTTCATTTCAGGAGGTGGCATATGATCAAGAACTAATGGTACTGAAGGAAGAAGTCAAATCTTCACTGAAGGAACTGGCAAAAAACAAGGCTCCTGGAATTGACAGAATACGCATTGAGATGTTTCAACAAAGAGACTTGAGGCAGTCACTCATTTATGCCAGGAGATTTGGAAGACAGCTACCAGCCAACTGACCAGAAGAGATCCATATTAGTGCCCATTCCAAAGAAAGGTGATCCCACAGAATGCAGAAATTATCTAACAATATCATTAATGCCACATACAAGTAAAATCTTGCTGAAGATAATTCAAAAATGGTTGCAGCAGTATATTGACAGGGAACTTCTAGAAATGCAAGTTGTATTCAGAAGAGGATGGGGAACAGGGGATATTTCTGATGCCAGATGGATCTTTGCTAAAAGCAAAGAATACCAGACAGATATTAACCTGTGTTTTATTGACTATGCAAAAGCATTTGACTGGGTGGATCATAACAAATTGCACATAACATTGTAACCAATGGGAATTCCACAACACTTAACTGTACTCACGAGGAATCCGTACATAGCCCAGGAGGCTGTCATGTGAACAGAAGAGGACACTGCATGGTTTAAAATCAGGAAGGCTGTGCGTCAGGGTTGTATCCTTTCACCATATTTATTCAATCTGTATACTGAGCAAATAATCCAAGAAGCTGGACAATATGAAGAAGAATGTGGCATCAGGATTGGAGGAAGGCTCATTAACAATCTGGGATACGCAAGTGACAAAACCTTGTTTGCTGAAGTGGATATGACCTGAAGCACTTACTGATGAAGATCATCGACTAGAGCCTTCAGTATGGATTACATCTTAATGTAAAGAAAACAAAAACCCTCACAACGAGACCAGTAAGCAACATAATGATAAATGGAGAAAAGACTAAAGTTGTCAAAGATTTCATTCTAATTGGATCCACAATCAACACCCATGGAAGCAGCAGTCAAGAAATCACATGTCGTACTGCACTGGGCAAATCTACTGCAAAAGATCTCTTTAAAGTGCTAAAGAGCAAAGGTGTTCCTTTGAAGACTACGGTGCACCTGACCAAAGGCATGGTATTTTCAATCACCTCATATGCCCGTGAAAGCTGGACAATAAATAAGGGAGACCAAAGAACTGACACCTTTGAATTGTGGTGTTGGCAGAGAATACTGAAAAGACCATGACCCGCCAGAGTAACAAACAAGTCTACCCTGGATGAGGCACAGCCAGGATGCTCCTTAGAAGTGTCAATGGCCAGATTTCATCTCACCTACTGGTCATGTCATCACAAGGGACGAGTCCCTGGAGAAGCATTTCATGCTTGGTAGAGTGGAGAGTCACAGAAGAAGGGGAAAGGCCCTCCACGAGATGGATGGCCACAGTGGCTGCAATCCTGGGCTCAAGCATGCCAACGACCGTGAGGACAGCAAAGGACAGGTGGTACTCCGTTGCTTTGCACGGGGTTGCTGAGGGTCAGTGCAGACTCAACCGCACCTCACAACCACCACCTGAAGATTTTCCATGTGATACCTGCACCCAGAAAAGTCCTGCAGTACTGTGACAGTAAAAACTGGTAAACTACCTACATGTCCTTCAGAAGGGGGTCAGATACACTCTACTGCCCATGAGCAGAGCACGGTGGGCTGGGCACAAGCTGTGTCAGCAGCAGACTGCAGGGACGGCCCCTTGTCACACAGTGCAGCGTGGGTGCCGTTCTCTTCCTGGGGTTTTATTCTTTTGTATTTTAATACTCTTTGGAAAAAAGCACTTATCCACATGGACTGTGGATCACTCTATTTCTCTCCCAGTATCACTGGCCTCATGTCTCTCCACCCCCACCCCACTGTCCTTGACCTTGCTCTGAGTCCTACTGTCAGTCACATCCCCAAGTCCCCAACAAGCCCATAACTGGTCACTTCTCTTCTAGGCCCAGCCACCATCCAATCTGTACTTGCTGCTCCTGCTGCCCTCCGGCTCAACCAAGCCCAGCCTTCTTCCAGCCCACCTGCCATGGGTCAGAGCTACCCTAGCACCGTGGTGCCCACCTCCACCTGCTGAAAGCTACCAATCCTCCAGGGTCCAGTGCACTGTGCCCTCCTCCATCACCTCCTCCTAAACCCACTCAAACTGGTAGAACTCTCTCTGTCCTGGTCGGAGTTCTGTATTCATTATTAACACAGCACACACTCCCTGTTTCTATAATTAAGTGTGGCTATCAACAGTGCATTCTCCAAACAGGCAATCAGTACCCCCTGCCATAGACTGAGGTAATGCTCCTACCTGGTTTGGATCTCCTGTCTGCCGGCACTTGCCACAGAACCCGCTGAACCCGACCTTGACCTGAACCCCTTGCTATCTGCAGAGACGTGGATGAGGCCAGGAAAGAGTTTACACGGGCTGCCACGTGTTCAAGTGCAAACTCCTGAACAGTAACCTTAAGACAACAACGAAGCACTACCTGTACACCAGGGCCAGGATGTTCAGCATGGTGGCCACGTCCGGGTGGTCGTGCCCAGACGTCTTCTCCAGGTCCTCCAGGGCCTGCTTGCAGAGGGGCACAGCAACCTCGTAGCGGCCCTGTGACGCGTACTGGATGACGAGGTTGTGCAGGGTACGCAGCCGTGCGGGGATCTCGTAGCCGCCCTGCTGGGCCGCGGCCGCTGCACTGCTGTGCTGCTGCTGGACTGTGGGGCAGGTGAGAGAGAGGGGGCTCAGGGGCCACCAGGCCGCGCAGCCTCCGACGCCCGCCCTGGCCTCTGCTCCTCCCCGGGACCCCTCAGGCATGCTGGGTAATTCAGTAACTCGGGGGGCGGGGGACTTCTCCTGGCACCATGAAAACTAATCGAGAGAGAGTTACACTGACTTTGTTCACCCTGTAAGAACCACACGGACATGTCCCACTTGTCCCCACACACACCTGTGTTCTAGGCTCTGGCCTAATACAGTCTGTGCCAGTAGTCCCAGGGTACAACTGAGTTCCGTTCCTAAATGTCTTTAAGAATTCACACAGGAGTCCAACCTGGTGCATAGGGTTCCTACTTGGCCTCACTTTAATGTAAGAAAAGGAGTTCTGGGGATACACTGGGTAAAGCATTTGGCTGCTAACCAGAAGGTTGGTGGTTCAAGCTGCTCCATGGAAGAAAGACAGGGCAATCTACTTCTATCAAGATTTACCACCTCGGAAACTCAGTGAAGGTTGCTATGCATCAGAATCGACTCAATGGCAGTGAGTTTGATTTTGGTTTAGTGTAAGAAAATGCTTGAAGTCTTACCAATGATTTCAAAGCTCTGTGTGCAGCAAGTGAAGGGGACAGTGAAGAATTTGTTGTGAGTAGGAGGTTTCTACAACCAATGAGGGCAAATTCACATAACATTAAAGAAAGGCTTCCAAGACAGCGTGGCCCACTCAAATATGGTAGCTGACGACACCACTTTGAACACGTATGGCTCTCCACAGTTCTGTCATAATCCAGTCTCACAAATCAGGCTCCTCAAAGGGTTCACCACACCGCTTCCAGTCTCCCTTTCCTGGGCTTCGACCCTAACTGTCCTCTTTTGGTTACCAGGACAAATCACCCGAACTGTAAAAATCTGCATCATGGGCACTGACAGAACCAAGTCGAAGGCCTGCATCAAGGGCCGGGAGGGTCCATCTGTCAGTCAGACGTCTGTAACCCGGGGACCACCTATATCCCCCAAACCAAAAACTGCTGTATATTCTTTTGAGAAAACCAATACATCTATAAGACTAAAGGCAACAGAGATGTGCACCCACTAATGGTGACAGTTACACCCCAAAGGGAAAGGCCTTTTGCTCAGACAGGGCACGTCACTCACTGCCTTGTCCGGGCTCATCCTCGTCATTGGGGAAGAGGTCGTCCAGAGGCTCTTTGGTAGAATCAGTGTCTTTGTCCTCCTGTAAGACAACAGAACTGCCCATAAGTCTGACAAGTACCCCAACTCCTCACTGAAAGGCTTGGTGGAGAACGCACTCTAATGACAGCAGTTAGGAGAAAGGTCCACGCCTAAGAGAACTGGACTCTCTTCCACAGCTGGTTCCCCAAGCTGCTCAGCACAGGACACAAAGTCTATGGGACTAGGATAGAAGACTCATCCGGGCCCTGAGTAGCAAGCACACCATCCCCCCACATCCACGCCCTGTATGCTCAGGAGGTACAGGAAGGCGGGGAAACCTTACCTGAGATGAAATCTCAGTTAGAAACCAAGTCTGTAAAAGCACTCAGTGGTGCCCTGATGGCCATGGACGTGGAGGGGCTACCCTGCTTCCTCTGCCCGTGACGTCTACCCCACTCAGCACCCACACAGCCCTGTGTGGGCGGAACTGTGCCCCAGTAAGACAAGTTGTGGTCCCAGCCCTGCACTGGGAAATAGGAATGTGTTTGGGAAACAGGTTTCCTTTGCAGATATTATCAGATAAGGTAATCACAGCAAAGGGGGTGGGGCCTAATGCCAACTTCTGAGTGGTGTCTAACAAAAAAGGACAGGGGAAGGCCACCAATGGGGGAAGGTCATCCACATGGGCAAGACCGCCAGTAGGGGAGAAGGCTGCCAGGAGGGGGATGGCCGCCCACAGGGAGAAGACTGCCCACAGGGGGAAGGCTGTCCGCAGGAAGATGGCACATGAGAAAGCTTTCATAAGGTAAGGAGTGCCAGGCACAGAAAGGGACAAAGAGAAGCTCTTCCCTGACAGAGAGGGCATGGCTGTGTTGACCCTCTGAATCTGGACTCCTAGCTCCAGACGATAAATTTCTGTTCTTATTTAAAGCCCACGAGGGAGCCCAGGGGGTGCAGTGGTTAAACTGCCTGACTACTAACCAAGTCAGTGGTTCGAACCAACCCCAGAGGAAAAAGACGTGGCGGTTGGCTTCCGTGAAGATGACAGCCTTGGAACCCTACGGAGCAGGTTCCTAAGTCCTCTAGGGGTGCTGTGAGTCAGTATCAACTCCACAGCAGTGGGTTAGGTTGGGTTTCAAGCAGCCACAGTGTGCTGACTGGTCACGGCAGCCTTAGAACACACAATCCCTACGAGCAGTTTCCGAACTTGCAGCTTTAACTCTCTGATCCAGATCTTGCCACAAACAGCCAGGCCAGGTATAAAGCAGTGTCACTGATGGGACAGATGAACGGTCTGCCTCTCGACAGGATGGCCGGCAAGGACACACCACCACTACTACAATGTTCCAGTCTGGGATGCGTATTCCAAATACTAATAAACAAACCCTGCTGTTGCTGTTGTTTGGTACTGTCAAATATGACTCACGGTGACCGTATATGACAGAGAACAGCCCCATCAGTTTTCCTGGCTGCAGTCTTGCCAAGTTTCTCTCCAGCAGACCTTCTGGATGGGTTCAAAGCGGCAGGCTTTCAGTAAGCAGCTGAGCACTGCTCCACCAGGACAAAAACTCAAACTGAGGAATAGCACATTAACTGCCTGAATTCTTCAAGGGTCGGCGTCATGAGAAGCAAGGCTGAGGGCCTATCCCCAGCGCAAGATGACTCAGAGCAGTGACTGCTACGTGCTGTGCATACCCGGAGCTAGGTCTGAAACCGACCAGACAAAGTGCTACCCAGGCACTGCCGAGGAGACCGACGACTAGACCACATCTGACTGCAGAGCAAGAAAGTGCCCAGTGGACATTAAACTCCTGAACTTGACACCCGGCTGTTAGTGTGAAGGAGACCCCTTCCCCAGGGAAAAGTTCACACAAAGAAGCATGAAAAGTTGTGGAGGGCCTGGGATGGGGGCACCACTCACCCCAACACAACACAGGAAAACACTCACACCCTCAATAGTGCAGTCAGCTCACTGCATCTATCCTACGAGTCTGAGTGTTCAAAGTGAAGAGTGACTTCTTGGGTAGTGTCCCAGGGACGCCGCTGCAAGGCCCCTAAACCTCCATTGACTCTTCTTTATGAGTACCCCCTAGCAGTATGTCTTTTGAACCAAAGCATTTAAATGTCCCCTAATCCGGAGGAGCTGTAACACAACAGGGCAGGAGCAGGCTTGCTGGTGCTGAGCGCAAGACTACACCGACAGCCTCAGGCTGAGCAGAGACAGGCAGCGAGCTCACGGCCTCCCCACCCTGGATGTCCACTGCCTGGCACGAGGCAGCCATTAAAAAGCTGTTAGCTCTAAATGCAGCCTTGGATCCGGGAACAGAAAAAGGACATTATCAGAAGGACTGGTGGAATCCAACACAGTGTGTTGTTGTTACATACTGTCCAGTCAGTTCCAGCTCATAGCGACACTACCTACAACACAAGGAAACACTGCCCAGTCCTGTCCATCTCACAGTCTTGCTGTGCCTGAGCTCATTACTGCGGCCACTGTGTCAGTCCATCTCACTGAGGGGCTTCCCTTTTACTGGCCGTCTACTTCACCAAGCACATCCTTCTCCAGGGACCGGTCGCTCTGACGTGCCCAAAGCACGAGAGACAAAGCCCGGCCATTCGCTTCTACGGAGCAGCCTGGCTGTACTTCTCCAAGACGATCTGTTCAATCTTGCAGCAGTCCATGGTATGTTCGATATTCTTTGCCAACACAACAATTCAAATATATCAATTCTTTTGCAGTCTTCTTTATTAACTGTCCAGCTCCCATGTGCATATGAGGCCACTGAAAAGACCATGGCTTGGGTCAGGTGCAACTCAGTTTTCAAAGTGACATCTTTGCTGTTAAACACTTTAAAAAGGTCTTTTGCAGGAGATTTGCCCAATGCAATACATCCTCTGGTGTGGCTTCCATGGGTGTTGATTGTAGATCCAAGTTAAATGAAATCCTTGACGCCTTCAGCCTTTTCTCCATTTATCAGGGTGTTGCATACTGGGCTCGTTGTGAGGATTTCTGTTTTCTTTCCATGGAGGTGCAGGCCACACTGAAGGCTGCTGTCTGTGATCTTCATCAGTAAGTGCTTCAAGTCATCTCCATTTTCAGCAAGAAAGGTTGTACTGTCTGCATAGCACGGGTTACTAAGGATTCTTCCTCCGATCCTGAGACTGTGCCTCTCTTGATACAGTCCTGCCTCTCAGACTATTTGCTCGGCATACAGGTGGAGTGCATGGTGAAAAGATATACCCCTCAAGCACACCTTTCCTGATTTTAAACCACACGGTATCCCCTTGTTCTGTTCCAGCGACTGCCCCGTGGTCCATGCACAGGTTCCTCATGAGCACAATTGAGTATTCTGGAATTCCCACTCTTTACAATGTTATCCATAATTTGTTATGATCCCATCAAAAGCCTTTGCATAGTCAATACACATAAGAAAATATCTTTCTGGTATTCTTTGCTTTCAACCAAGATTTATCTGACATCAGCAATGATATCCTCACTCCACGCCCTCTTCTGAATCCTGCTTGAACAAACTCTGGCAGCTTCCTATCAATGTACTACTGCAAGCATCTTTAAATTATCTTCAGCAAAATTTTACTTGAGTGTGATATTAATGATTAAAAAAAAAAAAAAAAACTCACTACCGTCGAGTCTGTTCCAACTCACAGCAACCCCTCCTTGGGTTTCCAAGGTGGTATCTCTATCCATAGAGATAGCAGATTGCTCAGTCGTCCTTCTGAGGAATGGCTGGTGGGTTTGAATCTCTAGCCATCTGGTTAGCAGTCAAATGCCTTAGGTACCACGCCACCAATATTATTTGGTAATTTCCACATTCTGTGGGATCCTCTTTCTTTGGAATAGGCATAAATATGGATCTCTTCCAGTCAGTTGGCCAGGTAGCTGTCTTCCAAATTTCTTGGCATAAATGAATAAGAGTCTCCAGTACTGCATCCATTTGTTCAAACATCTCAATGGGTATTCTGTCAATTCCTAGAGCCTTGTTTCTCACAATTCCTTCAGTGCAGCTTGAACTTCTTCCTTCGATACCACTGGTTCTCGATCATATGCTACCTCCTGAAATGGTTGAATGTTGACCAATTCTTTTTGGTGCAGTGACTGTATTCCTTCCATCATTTTCTTTTTTTTTTTTTTTTCATTATGATTTGAGTGAAAGTTAACAGAGCAATTTCATTTTCCATTCAACAGTTTATATACATTGTTTCTTGACAGTGACTGCAACCCTCATATTTCCTCCCTATGGTTACCTTTTCCCTGTGTCCTTCTTTCCTATGCATTCCTGCCCTCTGAGCTCTCTCCCTGTGCATATACTGCCCTTCTGATCTCCTGTGGTGGATTATTCTAAGGAGTGTACCTGCTTGGTTAAACTGCTCACCTCATAGGCCTGTCTACTGCTTGGCTGAAAGCCACGAGAGTGGTTCAATTCCAGGCCAAAGGGTGACTAAAGGCCATCATCTCAGGGGTCTCACCAGTCTCTATCAGACCAGTAAGCCTGGTGTTTTCTACGATTTTCTATTTTGTTCCACATTTTTCTCCCACTCTGTCCAGGATCTCCGAATGTGATCCTTTCCAAGTGCTTGACAGTAGCAGCTGGAGACCATCCAGTTCTTCCAGTCTCAGGGTCCTATTATCTGAGGTTCCCATGGTCTACTGATCCCCTGGACTACCTGTTTCCATGCATCTTTGATTTTCACTCGTCTTTACTCTGGAGGAAAGACCAATTGTTGCATCCTAGATGGCTGCTGGGAAGCTTTTAAGACCCCAGTTGCCACTCACCAAAGAAGGATGCAGAACAACGTTTTTGTGTAGTATATTATGCCAACTGAGCTTAATGTCCTCCCTACCATGGTCCCAAGCCTGCAGGCCCAGCAACTCACTCCCTAAGGTGTGGTGTTTGGCTGTGGCTAAGAAATTATAATAACTTTGCTTTATTACATATATGGATGTTCTTATAGCACATACCAATACATATGTAGAAATATTGTCTGCCAAACTTATATATTCCCTGATCATTCTACCTGTCTACCCATGTATCCACCCATAGACTGTTTGCTATTACTGAGAACGCAGTGTTGTGTATGTAAAAGTGTTTCCCTTCATTGTCTGTACCTCTTGTGCACCTCTCTGTCTTCCTTTTCCTTATTGTTACTGTGTTGGTCACTCGCTTTTGGTATGCTGCCTTTCCCTTCACCCATATCAATACTTATCTCTTACCTATCTAGCAATTTTCCCTTCATGACCCTCCCATCCCTGGTAACCATTAAAGAAAGTTTCCTTCCATGTATAAACCTTTCCTTGACTTTTTACAATAGCAGACCCATACAGTATTTTCTTCTGTGACTGATATATTTTACTCAGCATAACATCCTCCAAGTTCACCCACATTTATGAGGTGCTTCATGCATTCTCCATTATTTTTTAGTGTTGTATAGTATTCCATTGTGTGTATGTACCACAGTTCCGTTATCCATTCCTACATCAACGGGCACTTGTTTCCATCTCGTTGCTATAGTGAACAGTGCTGCGATGAACATGGGGTTTGCATGTATCTATACATGCCCCAGCCTCCACTTCCTTAAGATACATACCTAGTACCGCGACTGCTAGATCAAATGGTATTTCTATTTCCAACTTTTTAAGGAAGTGCCATACCGTTTTCCACAATGGTTGTACCACTTTACAGTTGCAACAGAAGTGTATAAGAGTTCCAATATCTCCACCTCTCACCAGCATTTGTTGTTTTCTGTCTTGCTGAATTTTGCTATTACTGCTGGGGTGAGATGGTATCTCACTGTTATTATTATTTGCATCTCTCTAATGGCTAATAATCATGAACATTTCTTCATGTGTTCACTGGCTGAATGAGTATCTTCTTTGGTGAAATGTCTGGACTGTCTTCTGCCCACTTTTTAATTGGACTGTTTGTCTTTTTGATGCTGAGGTGTTGAAGTTTTCTATAAATCTTAGTAGTAAGTCTCTTGTCAGACGTCACTGCCAAATATTTTTTTTCCCAATTTGTGGGTTCTCTTCTTGCTCTTTTGGAAAACTCTTTTGATGTGTGTAAGAATTTTTAGAAGGTCTCAGTCATCTAGTTTACCTTTTGCTTGTTGTGCATTTTAAATTATGTTTGATGGTCTACTTAGGCCATGTATCAGGGCCCCTAATTTTGGCCCTATATTTTCTTTGATGAACTTTATACTTTTTAGGTTTTACATTTAAGTCTTTGATCCATCCTGAGTTGGTTTTTATGTATGGTGTGAGATACAGATCTTTTTTAAATTTTCCACAAATAAGTATCCAATTTTTCCAGCACCATTTTTAAAGAGACTGTCTTTCCCATTTAACGGGTTTCAGCCTTTTGTCCACAGGTGGACAGATCTATTTCTGGGTTCTTAAATTCTGTTCCTTTCACCTTCTTTTTTTTTATTGTTTTTTAAATTTTTATTGTGATTTAGGTGAAAGTTTACAGAGCAAATTCATTTTCCATACAGCAGTTACACATATTTTGTTTCATGACACTGTACTTCCCCACAATGTAACAGCTCTCTACCCACTTCCTCCCCGTAGCTACCTCTTTCCTGTGATCCTCCCATGCACTCTCACCCTCTAAGCTATCTCCCTGTGCAAAAACTGCCCTTCTGTTTCCCCACAATTGATCAGTCCAAGGAGTGTATCTACCTGATGTAAATGTTGACTCCATAGGCCCGTCTACTGTTTGGCTAGAACCCTTCCATCTTCTTTGGACGCTTCCTACATTGTTCAATATTTTGCCCCTAAGACTCCTTAAATATTGCCACTTGAGGCCTGAAATTTTCTTCAGCTCTTTCAGCTTGAGAAATACTGAACATGTTCTTCCTCTCTGATTTTCCAACTCCAGGTCTTTGCACACTTCATTATATATGTTCTGGTTACCTAGAAGGAGACCACATACCCAAAGGCAGCTATTCAGCTACTTGTGGTAGATCCCACCATGGAGTTGACTGCCAGTCTCATCATGAGGAATAACTACATCTAGCTGCCCAGCCACTCAACCAGGCCTAGCCAAGTTGACACACAAACATAACCACCACAATATAATACTTTACTCTGTCTTCTCGAGCTGCCCTTTGAAATCTTCTGTTTGACTCTTTTCTTTCATCATTTCTTCCATTCACTTTAGCTACTCTCCTTACTGTTTCTCTCCAAGAGCAAATTTCAGAGTCTCTTCTGACATCCATTTTGGTCTTCTCTTCCTTTCTCGTCTTTTTAATGATCTTTGCGTCCTTATGTATGATATTAGTGAGGCAATTCCACAGCTTGCCTGGTCTTCCATCACTGGTGTTCAGTGCATCAAATCTATTTTTCAAATGGTCTCTAAATTCAGGTGGGCCATATTTTGGCTCTTGTGGACTTGTTTTAATTTTCTCTAGCTTCAACTTAAACTTACATATGAGCAATCAATGGTCTGTTCCACAGTCTGCCCCTGGCCTTGTGCTGACTAATGACACTGAACTTTTCCACTGTCTCTTTCTGCAGACTTGATTCCTGTGTATTGTATCCAGTGAGGTTCACATGTATAGTTGCCATTTATGTTGTTTAAAAAAGGTACTTAGGATGAGTAACTCGTTGGTCACGCCAAATTCTACCATGCGATCTGGCATCGTTTCCATCACCGTGAAAGCCGTATTTTCCAGCTACTGATGGCTCCTCTTTCTTTCCAGCTTTAACATCCAATCACCAGTAATGATCAATACATCTTGATGGGATACTTGGTCAGTTTCAGATTGCAGAAGTTGGTAAAAATCTTCAATTCCTTCATCTTTGGCTTTAGTGGTTGTTGCGTAAACATGAATAGTCATGTGAAATGGTTTTCCTTGTAAGCGTATGGATATTATCCTATCACTGACAGCATAGTGCTTCAGGCTAGATCTTAAAATGCTCTTTATGACGATGAATGTGGTACCATTCCTCTTCAGTTTCTTATTCCCAGCATAGTAGACCACACAATTGTCTGATTCAGAATGGCCAATACCAGTTCACTTCAGCTCACTAATACCTAAAGTATGGATCTTTATGTGTGCCATTTCATTTTTTATGACTTCCAATTTTATGAAACTCATACTCTCTATTCCACATTCCAATTATTAACGGATGTTTGCAGCTGTTTCTGCTCATTTTGAGTCATACCTCATCAGCAAATGGAGGCCCTGAGAGCTTTACCGCGTGCCTGTCACTGAGGTCAACTCAACTTTGGAGAGGCAGCTCTTCCCCAGTCGTAGTTCGAGTGCCTTCTGAACTGAGGCATAACCAAACAACATATAGTTTTGAGTTTATAGTAAGGTACCAATGTAGACTTCTTAGTTGGATGTGACTGGCAGAATCCGAGTATAGTGTGTAATTTTCAGTTAATCCTGACGTACAAACGTACATTTATTAGTTATGTATCCAAATGCAGTGTGCAGTTTTTGGTTAATAGTAACGAACCAAGGGAGATTTCATAGGTGCATGAGATGCGACATCAAAAGAAACTAGAAGAGGGAACATGGGAGCTCTTTTTCTCTGCAACTTCTCTATGAGTCTAAAATTATTCCAAAATAAAGTTTATTTTAAAAAGAAGCTTACTCAAAATGTGTATGAACAACTGTATGGAAAATGAATTTCCTCTGTCAACTTTCACCCAAATCACAATACAAAATTTTAAGAAAGCATCATGCAACCACAAAAATTTAAAAAAGTTAACTGAATCAGAAATAAGTAGTAGATGAAAAATAATCGAAAATGGGACAAATATGCAAGGAGAGCTGGCAGAAAAAGAGCGAACCCAGATCCCTGGGAGCCGGAGCAGTCCAGAAACATGAAGATCAGCCGGCAGGGACCGACAGCAGGGGGAGAGAGGAGAACCCGGTGAGGAAGAGAAGGCCGGTACGCAGCCCGGGTTCCAGACAGCCGGTCAGGCAGGAAGAGCCCTGGTGGCGCAGTGTAACACACTCAGCTACTAACCAAAAGCCTGGCAGTTCGAACCCACCAGCCGTTCTGCAGGACAAAGATGTGGCAGTATGCTTCCATAGAGTTTTATAGCCTCAGAAATCCCACGGGGAAGTTCTACTCTGAACTGTAGGGGTGCTGTGAGTCGGAATCATTCGACTTGACGGCAGTGGGTTTAGTTTGTGAGGGCTGACAGGGTGACAGGGAGGGATGAGACTAGGATGGGCTAAGCAAGGGCAAGATCTCCCGTGGACAGCAGAACCTCGTTGAGTCGTGCCTAAGACTCACAAAATTTCCACATTTTCTGACCATTATTCTAAATGCCACATAGGAAAATAATAAGGCAAAGAGGACTCATGGGACCTGTCCAGGGACATGGTGCAAGGGACTCAATTCTAAGACCATCATCCCCGCTCTTGCTAAACACAGCACCCAACAGAGAGTCACCCAACAGCCTACGAAGCGCGGCCTGCTCAAGAGCACTTACGGAGGGAGAGATGTCATCGTCGTATTTCTTCAGCTGGTTCATGAACTCCAGATGCTTCTTCTCTTCCTCCAGCTGGGCCACGGACTGCTCACTCTTCTGCAGCTTCTGCTGCGTGTTGGCCAGCTCATCCCGCAGCCACTGGTTCTCCTGGCACAGACGGCGCACCTGGGCACGCAGCTTCTGCTTCTCCGACTCCACGGCGTTCAGGTGATTGGACAGAGCCATCATCACCTGCACAGACAGACATGCGTCAACGCCATCCTCAAGCATCCAGCCAACAGGGCCCTCCACCACACAGAGACGTGCAGCCCTTCTCTCCAGTGCCACTGAGCACTCTTCCTACCGTCAGCCATGGGCTTCAGACGGGGCACGGCAAGGACACTGTGCCCACAGGGTGCACGATCTTCCCCTGTGAGCACATCTCGGCTATCCAGCAGTGTGCACACAGCTACTCTGCCCAGGGGCTGCAGGATGGCACTGTCCGCCTAGATGCTCCCCACCTCACCCATGAAAAAGACTGAAGGGGGAAAACCTTCCAGATGTGTGTGAGGGACTGTGTGTGCGGTACGCGTGTGCATGTGCAGGGGGCGTGGTGGCTTTCTCCAATAAGGGAAGGCACCTTGGTAGCACGTCCTGGCTCATGTCTACAACATAGACCCAGGGGTGCATGTGCCCTGCTGCACACTGAGTAGTTCCCAGGAGGACACGGGCAAAGCAAGCTGGGAAGAAGCCAGCTGGCTCTGGTCTGCTTCCTCCTGCCATCCTGCTCCCTCGTCACTATTCTCCCAGGTTTAAAACCTGAAACTGCAGACGGTGGGGTTTCGGCCTCTTTCTTTATGAATCCTAATATCTGCAAACTGAAAAAAGGAAGCCCATGTCCCCTTCGAGAACAGAACCAGACAAAGAGCACACCCACAGTGACCAGACAAGGCTCCAGTCCTAACCAGCCCCTATGACATGGCTGCGATGGAGAATTTTAAAGTGCAGTTGGAAGGCCACCTGGGTATAGAGTCATGTCCTTTATGAAAGCAGGCACTGGTCACCCAGAGCCTGTGTGCTGCTCACTCAATCCCTCCACCAGAAAGGAGCTCATACTAAGTGAGTGCAGTTTTACCTAAGAAGACGGCAGAGCCAGCAGCTTCTGAAAGTTATTATGAGGATAAAACCAAAACCTAGACGGTCTCTTCTCAACCATCCCTAGCTCAACAGAGACAAGGCTTCGTGAGATATGCCAGCCTCTCCTAAGGCAACGGGGAGACAGACAGCTGCAGCCCCTGCGGGTACCCCTCCCTCCCTGTGGAAGAACCTGGGCAGCATCCCCAGCCCCTCTCAGCTACAGGTGTGGCCAAGCTCCGACCACTGAGAGTAGCAGAGGCTGAGCACAACTTCCAGGAAGGACCCTCACAGGGAGAGACACACCCTTCCTGGTCCAGCCCCGGCCAGAGAAGGGGTCATGTGGCTAAAGCTGGAGACTGTTCAGTCAGTCTCCTCACCAATGCTGCCTGCCAGGGAGCTGTGCAGCCACCCAACCATCCGGGACTGCCTATTTCAGCCCTTGGTCTACATTAGAAACACACCCATGCATATGGCTTAAGCCACTGTTTCTGTTTTTTCATACATGCCACCAAAAATCAAATCCCAAATGATACACAGGGTTACTTTCATTTTGCTCTGAGTTTTAAAACTCAGAATGCACAAACTCATCACCATCTCGGTACATGCCACCCCCACCTGAGTGGCCTAAGCACTGTCCCTGTACTTCTTCCGCTGGACTGTCCTTTGGGCCCTGCCCCCAGACTCCCCGTGGTCTGGCCAAGGTCATACGACGTGTGCTCCCCGTACCTGCGCCTCACTCAGGCCGAGCTCCAGCATCTCCAGCGACTTCCGGATCATGTTGGATTTCTCCTCCACCAGGTTGCTCTCATCGTCCTTCTTCAAACACTTGAGTGTCTCCAGCAGACTTTGTAAGATGGAGTTATGCTCATTCTTGAGGGCCTCCAGCCCCTGGATCACCTGCTTGGTCTTAGAAATGATCTCGTCTTGCGTCAGCTTCTCCAGCTTGTCTTCCTTTATGTACACCATTGTGGACATGTTGTCATACATCCTGGAATGGAAAAGGAGGAAACTGAGACTTCCTGTGACAGGCTTACTCCTTATTACACCTGTAACACAACTTCCTTGTGGCAATAGTTTGAAATGAACACTTTCACAGCTGGATAATAAACCTGTCTGTATACTTTCTACATTGTCTCTGTTTCCAGATCAATTAATGACTTTTCTGGCTTACATCTGGATTCTTTTTGATAGGTGAAATGACAGGAACTGAAATTAATGTCAAGGTTAAAAGTAGCCAAACAACCCATGGCATTTTAAAGCACAAATCCTCAGTGAACAGAAACCGCTCTGAATGTTTGCAGGCCCTTTTTGTCCTTAAAGAAACGCAGAAGGGGCACTAAACTCTTGGCAGCACATCCAACCGGATGAAACTTTGAGAAGCAGTCATACAGACTGAAGAAGGAAGAAAAAGCCTAAGGACAAGGGAGCAGGGAGAGGGGCAGAAGGATGAGTCTGGACCAGCGAGGAGCACGCCAGGAGCAGGGCCGAGCTGTACTGAAAAGAATAAAGAAGATACCTCAAAAAACTAAACACAAACCTGCCATACGACCCAGCAATCCCACTCCGGAGACAGACCTCCGTAGATGAGAGGAAGGCAAGCAGACACCACACACCAACGTCTGCTGCAGCACTATTCACAGACACCAACAGGTGGAAACCGCCCAACTGTTCACCAGCAGATGGGCGGAGGGACACAATGTGGTCACACGTATGGGGAACCTTTCTCAGCCGTGAAGAGAGATGGCCCTCTGTACATGAAAGGGCTGAGTGAGATCAGTCAGCCACCAAGGACAGATGCCACACGCTCCGCTTAGAGAAAACATCTAAAATTTGGCAAACACAGAACCCAAAGGCTGTCAGTGGTCACCAGGGGCAGTAGCGGGGGAGGGGGCACCACTGCACAGGGGGCACTGAATTTCTCTTAAGGGTGATGGGACAACATGAAACAGAGAGTGGGGATGGTTGGACATGACGAGGCACATAATGTTAAACTGTACACGTATGGAGTACCGAAATGGCAAACGTTTTATTACGTCTATTTTTTATCACAATTAAAAAAAAAAAAAAAAGAAATGCCAAGAACAAGACTAAAAGGAAATATGTGGACCTTTATTTTTAAAAAAAAAAAAAAAAAACTACAAAACTCTAACCAAAGAGAAGTAAAATACTCGCATTAAATCAAAAAGCACACCATGCGTCCAGACAATACAGTGAATCAAAAAGCACACGTGTGCCCCCCCCCCCCCGCACAAGTAGCCAAGTTCAACAAAACAGAAAATAACAAATGCTGGCGAGGATGCGGAGAGGTGGATTCTCATGCACTGCTGGTGGGACTGTAAAATGGTGCAACCACTGTGGAAATCAGTATGGCGATTCCTTAAAAAGCTGGAATTAGAAATACCATTTGACCCAGCAATTCCATTACTAGGTATATACCCTAAAGAAGTGAGAGCCAGGACAAAAACAGATATATGCACACCCATGTTCATCACAGCACTATTTACAACAGCAAAAAGATGGAAACAACACAGATGCCCATCAACAGGAGAATGGATAACAAAACTATGGTACATACACACAATGGAATACTACGCAACCTCAAAGAACAACCTAGAATCTGCAAAACACCACATAACGTGGATGAACTTGGAGGACATTATGCTGAGTGAAGTAAGTTAATGACAGAAGGACAAATATTGTATTAGTCCGCTATTATAAAAGTCAAGGAAAGGTTTATCCACGGAAGGAAATTTCCTTTGTTGGTTACCAGGTGTGGAACAGAAGGGTAGGGAACACTGTCAGACAGGTAGAGATAAGTATTGATTTGGGTAAAGAGAAGGGCAATGTACCAAATGTGAGTGATCAACATGGTGGCATTGACAGAGAGAGGTACATGGGAGGTACAGACAACAAAGATGAACCCTTCTGCACATACAGTACTGTGTTGTCAGTGAAGGACACAGGTATATGGGTGGACAGATGGGTGGAGAAGCTGTACTAGGAGCTCTGGTAGAGTAGTGCCTAAGGCACTTGACTGCTAACCAGAAGGCTGGCAGTTCAAACCCACCAGCCACTCCTCAGAACGAAGGTTGGGCAATCTACTTCTGTAGTGATACCTCCTTGGAAACCCAAAGAGGGGTTGCTATCAGTCGGGTCCGACTCGACAGAACATAACAACAACAACATCCAGGGTGAAGTGTGCCCAAGCCTATGTATAGGGTTGGCAGACAATGGTCCTATAAGTGTATTTGGATGATCTGTAAGAATTCCCAGCTGTATAGTAGAGCTGACAAGGGACAAGGTTGTAGTATTCTTGGTCACAGCCAGCTACCCAGAGGGACCGAGTAGTTGAACCTATGGGCTCAGGACCATAGTTGCAGGGGACATCTGCAGCCTATACGACTATAAGACAAATTGTGTATGTGCTTAGAATTGTCCACACTACACAAAACACTGTTCCACCTCCTACTTTGGTAAGTAGCGACTGGGATCTTAAAAGCTTGCCAGCAGCCATCCGGATGCAACAATGGGTCTCTCCTCGTCCAGAGCAAAGAAGAATGAAGAAAATCAGGGATGCATGGAAACAATTAGTCCAAGTGACTGGTACACCTTGCCATCTGCAGCCTATACGACTATAAGACCAGACAAACTAGACTGTGCCCAGCTACCACACTCAGAGGGGGACCTACATAGGAGATTCTGGATAGAGATGGAGAACAATGTGGAACAAAACTCAAAATCATTTGGGAAAAAAAGGAGGGGGCAGGTTTGCTGGTCTGACAGAGCCTGGTGGAACCACTGAGACTATGGCCCCTAGCTGCCCTTCAGGTCTGGAACTGAACCCATACCTGTGGCTTTCAGCCAAACAAAAGACAGGTATACGAGGTGAACATTTACATTAAGTAGATACACTCCTTGGAGAGATCAATCATGGGATAATAGAAAGTCTGTATATGCTCAGGGAGACAGCTTGGGGGACAGGAGTGCATGGAGGGATGGACACAGGGAAGAGGTAACTATGGCAAGTGAGAGGGGAGCTGTTGCACTGGGGTAAATTGTAGTCAATATCATGAGACAAAGTGTATGTGAACTGCTATATGAAAAGTGAATTTATCTATAAATTTCTACCCAAATCACAATTAAAAAAAAAAAAAGCACACCATGCACCCAGATAGAACAGTGAATCAAAAAGCACACTGTGCGCCCAGATGGGAACAAGCTTCTTGTGACAGTATCTAGTGTTCCCAAGCAATAGACTTATTGCAAATAAATTCAGACAATTTTTAAAAAGAGAAAAAAGAGACATGAGGAGGATGAGGGCTAAAAATGGCGACTGGACCAGATGGCAAGGTGGTGGTCGGGTCCACTTTACAACATGACAATGAACCAGACAGGAGGGAAGGGGCGGGAGGGTGTGGACGCTGCTGGAAGCAGCTACAGCCTGTCCCACTCTCCTCTCAAATTGTGTATGTGCTTAGAATTGTCCACACTAAGCCTTTTTAAACAGCCACCCAGAGTGACCAAGAAGAAAGCCTGAATGAGTGACAGGGACATGAGATGACACCCACCCTCGCCTCTGCTGTCTGGTGTCTTCTCTGTTCTCAGGGCCTCTCTCTGGCCCTTTTAGTACATGTGCTATTAGAAAAGGCAGGGGCCTCACCAGTACAGCCCAGTGCACACACCGTGAGCGTTCCTGACCCAGGCAGGCGATCTGCACAACAGACAGACTCAGAGACAGCTGTGGGCGGAGGGGAGAAAGGTCTAAGCAGTGGATGGAGACCCCACATGGCAGGGACTGGGCTACAACCAAAGCCCTTAACAGAGTCCACAGGGCTCACACTGTCCAGTGTCTCCGCTCCCCCCGGGGCCCATGTTGTCTGGTGTCTCCGCTCCCCCCAGGGACCTGCACTGTCCCATGTCTCCGCTTCCCAAGGGCCCTCCCTGTCCGGTATCACCGCTCCACGTGGGGGCCCATGTTGTCCACTATCACCCCGCCCACTGGGAAGGTGATTCTTACTGGACATGAAACCTGCACCTCTGAGCTTTAGCAGCAGTTGGGAGGACTCTTTAGAAGTCAGCCTATACGACTCAGCCTATACGACTATGAGACCAGAAGACCAGAAGAACTATGGGAACAGGAGGACCAGCATACAGGAGACGCCACCAAGGTGAAGCCAGTCTACAAAAGGAGGGCATCTTCTCACAAGAGGGACAGCAAAGGCACTGCCAGCCAGAAGTCACAGGAGCAGGGACTTAGGAGCATAAAAGACCCACCGTTCCCAAGGCTGCCTAGGCTGCCGGGCTATGGCAAGGGAAGCCAGAGTTAGTGAGGTCTTGCACCCCAGAACTGCAGAACCGCAGCACTCCAGGGCTGACTTCATCCTGAAGGCAAGAGCCAGGGGTGAGGATGGAGACCTCCTTCCGGACAGTGTCACACCAGGTATGATCAACTCAAGATGCCGGCACTTACTCCCTGCTGAGTACTGCAAAGCCCAGCAGCCAAGGCCACTGCAGAGATTTTCAGAGTTCATTTCCAACAACATCAAAACTGGGGACACTAACAGACTCTCCAGGCCCAAGGAGAAATGACACCAACCTCATGCTTGGAAAACACAAACTCCTGGGGCATGGCCACGGGGGCAGGAAGGTGTCTACCAAGAGGCCAGCCTGCCCAGGTCAGGGTGGTCAGTGCCACACTGCCACAGGCCAGTGACACTAAGCAGAAGGGGAAAGTGGGGCACTTGTGTTCACGTCCAAAATAAATACAAAAAGACAGAGGATTTAAATACAGGCAGGAAAACTGTAAAGGTAAGACTGCCACACAGGAAAAACCTGAAACAAAGGTGAGAGACAGCTGAACTGGGTCAGTAATAAGTCGACAAGTCGACACACGTAACAGTCCAAGTTGACCTCCTTAGGGAATGGATAGCAAGTGGCAGAGCGCACCATGTGCTCCCGACTGCGTAAGGGCTCTAACGACAGACACA